CGTTTTTCCTGCTGATACTTCCCTCATCACCTTCAGAATAGGCTCGGAAACAGCCACGCTTTCTTCAACAGCCCTCCAGAAATCATTGTCTTCGATGATGCCCATACATGATACGCTCTGCGGTTTATTTGCGTCTGAACAGTTGGCAGAATATTCTGCACTGTTAAACATGTGCTTCAGCCTTGCCTTTTGCTTCATCATTGCCTGTAACGATAAAAAACTGGAGACAGGCCTCGTGATACCGCTCTTAATTATATCTTGACCACCTGTGAACTTCATCATCAGATCCAGCACTGAGCCATTATTGTATATAAATTTGGTCAGGATTTGTGCTTGAAGTATACATCGGTTCACCCAATCTAACTTGGAGAATTCTTCTAATATCATGTTCAAGCTCCGAGTTGCACAAGGAGACACAAAAATGCTTCCATAGTTTTGCGAGATATGATTCGAGATACCTGTGTAGTTGAAACTACTGTCGATTATGATTTGCACGACATGTTCTTGTCCGATATCTTGAATTACAGAATCAAACAAATCAGCTAGGCATTTCGTGTTCTTGAAGTATGAAGAAGCATCCAAAGACTTGTGAAAGAAGGTTCTTGACGGCGATGAGACAAAGAAGTTTATCAGTGCCCGGGATTTGTTATCAGTCCATGCCTCCGCCAGGATAGTACAGCCGGTGGTGTGCCACTCTTTCTCAATCTCTTTCAACTGTATGCCAACTTCGGACTTTACCCTGTCCAACCACACAGTCCTGAGAGATCCAGCAGAAGGGCCAACAAATCCGACACCGCATTTCGCAATTGCCTCGATCATTTGCTGATACGACGATGAGCGGGCCACGCCAAAGTCGATCTTGTTCTCAAAGAAGAAAAGAGCAATACTCCTCGCTGCAATCTCTTGATTGTTTGAACAAGATGGCAGCGGTTGAAGGATGGTCGGGAAAACTTTAGCAGCAGAAGAGACAGCATCTAAGGGAATTAGAGGCCTAGAAACAGGTAAATTCCCAGGTGAAGGTTTAAGTTCTGGGGTTTTCAGCTTTTTGGTGCTAGGCGATTCTCTAGCATCATCCTTGGCAGATAAAATAGCACGGACTCTATCAGTGACATCGTCCCTTACCTTGGTACAAGGATTCACTCCTTTACTCGGAAGTCGAGATAGATGATGCTTCAACCTGCTAATTCCGCCATTCAAGACTCTAGAACAGAACTTGCACCTCACCTTATTCCCGTCTAATTTATCTGCGAACTCCCAACACATGTCCTTCTCTCGAACCACTGTCAAGCAAAAGACGTTTGCAATTAGCGACATACTGCTGTCGTTTAGAAAGATCAACCAGCCATTGATGACTGTGGGAAAGAGCTACGATCTCAGCATCAATGGGGGAAAAAAGAAATGAGGGAAGAGAGAACTGAATTACTTGCTACAGATGTCGGAAATGATATCTGTCAGAAATTTTTTACCTGCCATAGAAATAATCAGCACAAGCCTCGTAAAATTTCCATCAGAAAAAGAAAAATCGCGATTCATGATTCGAGGAATCTATTCAAAATGTAAAAGAAGACCGAGAACATAAAAGCAGATTATGATTCTAAATTTCTCGTGTGGATTGCGGGGAACGGCGGACTCTTCACTTCATTTGAACGGCGGAGATCCGGAAAAGGAATGACTGTTTTCCGGTGAAAATTTTCTCGGCGGCCAAACATGGCGACAACGGAGCTCCTACTTTTAATATATATATATATATATATATATATATATATAGAGAGAGAGAGAGAGAGAGAGCGGAGAGGATGAGAAATCGCGAGAGATAAAAGAGGAGCTTACAGAGGGGAGGACGAGGACAGACTCGATTCTTCTCGCCGGACGGCTTTCTACGAGGTGAGATTTAATTTTTCGCGAGATTTTGGTGAAGCTCACGCTCCTTTGCCTTTGTGTATGCCCTTTTCTTCCCGATAATTTATATTTAGTTTTCTTTTCTTATTTTTTCTTCTGCGAGATATTGCCGAGACCGAGAGAGGTCCACTCGAGTCGAGAGCGGGGCACACGAGACGGCACCGTTTGAGCGTCTCTTCTGACGGCGTTACAGACCCAAATGTATTCATTAATATATATATATATATATATATGTATATGTGTATTATATGTTTAGAAGGCAGTACAAACTACAAAGAAAGCATTTTGAAATCAAGAATTACACATAATTATACACATGTATAAGAGAAATGAATTGACAAATTCAGAAAGAAAAAAAATATTGACGTAGCCTCGATAACATATCAATTTATTGACCAATATAATATATATATATAGAGAGAGACATATATCAATTCATTTTTCAACGAGTGATGAATTAGTGAAACTGTTTTCCAGAATTTATTTAATCCATGGAATGGGATTAGGACTGGACATTTAAATCCGTTACCACCTATTTGCAAATACCCGATCTTGCGGATAGAGATACTCACGATTACCCGTCTTTTTAATTATACATACATGTCTAACGGATATCCGGATATCCGAATATTGCGAGACAAACACAAAAATAATATTTCTATAAAAACTACGAAAATAAAAACGAAGACGGATATTTCAAAAAAAGTGTGAATAACGGAGCCGTGCCCACCGTAAATGGAATTGAATTGAGACTCATTTATAAAAGCCTATAACCAGGAGAGAAGCTGATTCTGATGTATCTCACAACAAACCAAAAGCATAAATGAGGAAGGGTAAACATTCGGATTCAAAGTGAAAAATAAAAATACAATAATAAATAAAAGTAAAAAAAACAAAAATATAAAAGGGGGATAATGAAAAGAATGGTGAAGGGCGGCGGTTAAAAGTCAAAATTAAAATCAGCGGTAGCTGCGGTAGGAAGGGCTGTACATGCTGCTCTCCGCGCACTTCACCAGATCCTTGGGCTGAGGCAACCTCGTTGCCAAACCTTTCATTACAACACGCATATATATATATATATGTGACCATATCATTTTATTTTTAAAATCGAATTTATCAATAACCAAAAATAAAAATAAATAACACCGAGGGTTGACTCGAGTCAACTCACCGAGTTCATAAGCCTTGGCGGCCACCTTGGCGGCGATGCGAGCAGAGATGTTTCTGATGTCCTTGAACGGAGGGTATATGGATCCTTTCACAAAATGCTCCTCCCTCAGCTGCTCTGCCAGCGCTTCCGCTGGCATTACCCATAACATTCAAACATCATCTTTCTCAATATATGCCAACAAAATCATATACATTCACCTGCTGGAGCTAACCGTAGGCAATTTCGTTAATAATCGAATAACCGAACCAAATAACATCTACCCATAACCGAATGGAACATGATATAAAAGTAAAGAAAAAATGAACTCAAATCGAATAAAAAAATAACCGAAAAAAACTGAAAAGCTCCTTTGAAAAATAATTACTTTTATCAACCCGAACCCATAAAAACCTAATGGTTATCGGTTTTTCAAAACCGAATATAACCAATTGAATCCGAACCGAAACCCAAAATGACCACTCCTATCTGGAGTTAGTTCCCTGCCATAAATGAATGTTTTTACTTACAGGCAGCCAGGAGCATGTCATCATGAACACGGATCGTCCCTGACATTATCAACCCGAGCCCTAGCCCCGGGAAGATGTACGCATTATTCGCCTGCCAACAACCACCACGACACAAAAAAAAAAGGTATGATCCATCAGTTGAAATTCTCTCATGCTTTTTCCATCATATTCTTTCAGTTTTTTTGCATAATCACCTGTCCCGGCACCAACATCTTTCCATTGTACTCTACCGGAGCAAATGGGCTCCCGGAAGCAAAGATCGCCCGTCCCTGTGTTTGAATCAAAAGGAATCAAAACCAACTTCTCTACGATTATCTGAGAGAACTACTAACAAAGGCAACACGTTTTTACCTGACTCCATGCATAGGCCTCTTCCGCGGTACATTCTGACTGGGAAGTTGGGTTTGAAAGTGAAAGAACAATGGGTTTCTGTATGCAGCAGAATATTTCAACTTTTGAGTTTTGTCTAATTATTTTCTTACTTTAGTATCGGCCAAAAGACAAACTCTACCTCATTCAGGTCTGCCATGGCTTCTATTACTTCTTGAGTGAATGTTCGGCCCACTCCTGACGTCCCGATCAGCACTGTTGGCCTGATTGCCTGTGAGGAAATGTTAAAGGGAGAACGCGTGTTGAGCATTGCAAAGAAAATGAGTCCTCCAATGATCTTTAGGCCCAATAATACGTCACGGGCCAAAATGTATCCTCACGAATACTATATATATTATACATATATCAGAGAGAGATTCATAACAATTAAATTCCCGTTACGTACAGCGGACGAATGCCATTTTGGTAAAAGGTGCAAGTCCAAGAAACCTAAGGCCCCCAAGCTACAATCTCCGACAGCAACTGCCCAAGTGTCCATGACTTCCAAATATGTCCCTTTTACTCCACCATCCATCATGATGCAGCTCACTGCCAAAAAAAATTGTGAGAAAATTCGACCAATTTCCATACCAATCCTACATCATTAATTTGCTACTGCGGGCCTTCGGCTACTAACCTTTCTTCTGCAATTGTTTTTGAATCTTCCCTTGGCAATTGGGTCACTACCCAGACCATGTTAAGGCGAACTCCGGCATGGAAAATGAATTCACAAGCCGAAGATGCCATGATCGCTGGCACCGAAAATGGCAGCGCTGAACTGCCGCGTGTTCAAGTCGCCCCCGTCGAGGGCAGATCCGAACCGATCGAGCCACTGGGTAGGGCTTGGATTTTCTGCCTCCTCCACCCACTCAGACGTCATGTCGATGTCTTCAAGTGCAATCGGGTCCATCTCCGATGACGCCATTTTCCCTAAATTGAGATTGTGATTCACGTACGCCAATCCGTTCAACATTTCTTTGTCAATCTTGTTCCGTCTCTCCCAGTGCATCTGCTGGAATGTGTTCCAATGGCGTTCCAGGTTGTAGCCACTGCAAACTTGACTCAGTATCCTGATGGCCACCCGTTGCAGCACGGGCGCTGAGTCACCAAACTGCTCCCACCACAGCCCTGCATTGTTTAACACAAACACACACTATTGTATTCAAAATTTCAAACCTCGAGAAATTTCCACAGTTTCAACAAATAATCAGCACCAGACAGTTAATCTGTAACTGTAATCGGCTCATATGACAACCAAGTACGGCTTTGGTTGACAGCTTCTGATATCATATGTTTCTTCGCTCTACAAGCTAGCTTCAGGGCTACTTTGTATCCACCGGAATATTTCAAACTTGCACACAAAATTATTCTGATTTTAGATAGATTGGCAGTACCTGGTGGCACTGTATCCCTTGCTTCCATCGCAAGGTTACAGCCGAACATTCCCTTTGCTCTCGTGAAGGTGAATATCTGAGTTGTGACATCACGACGTAGATCGCTAGTCGGAAGAAGTTTCTCCAACACCTTGAAAAAGCCTTCTTTCAATGAAGTGAGGAACTTTATCTCTGGGTTATACTGAATACTGGGGTTCAAAAACGCTGCTGCGGCATGAAGAGGCGAATGCAGATGATCAAACCACTGTGTATCAATGATACTGGAAAATATCTTATGCTTATTCTCATCCATGATGTAATAAGTGCGTATCGACTCCTTCGCCCTTGTCATCAACTCGTAAATAGTCCCTACAGCGATAGTACAGCCGGTGGTGTGCCACTATTTCTCAATCGAATATTCTGCACTGTTAAACATGTGCTTCAGCCTTGCCTTTTGCTTCATCATTGCCTGTAACGATAAAAAACTGGAGACAGGCCTCGTGATACCGCTCTTAATTATATCTTGACCACCTGTGAACTTCATCATCAGATCCAGCACTGAGCCATTATTGTATATAAATTTGGTCAGGATTTGTGCTTGAAGTATACATCGGTTCACCCAATCTAACTTGGAGAATTCTTCTAATATCATGTTCAAGCTCCGAGTTGCACAAGGAGACACAAAAATGCTTCCATAGTTTTGCGAGATATGATTCGAGATACCTGTGTAGTTGAAACTACTGTCGATTATGATTTGCACGACATGTTCTTGTCCGATATCTTGAATTACAGAATCAAACAAATCAGCTAGGCATTTCGTGTTCTTGAAGTATGAAGAAGCATCCAAAGACTTGTGAAAGAAGGTTCTTGACGGCGATGAGACAAAGAAGTTTATCAGTGCCCGGGATTTGTTATCAGTCCATGCCTCCGCCAGGATAGTACAGCCGGTGGTGTGCCACTCTTTCTCAATCTCTTTCAACTGTATGCCAACTTCGGACTTTACCCTGTCCAACCACACAGTCCTGAGAGATCCAGCAGAAGGGCCAACAAATCCGACACCGCATTTCGCAATTGCCTCGATCATTTGCTGATACGACGATGAGCGGGCCACGCCAAAGTCGATCTTGTTCTCAAAGAAGAAAAGAGCAATACTCCTCGCTGCAATCTCTTGATTGTTTGAACAAGATGGCAGCGGTTGAAGGATGGTCGGGAAAACTTTAGCAGCAGAAGAGACAGCATCTAAGGGAATTAGAGGCCTAGAAACAGGTAAATTCCCAGGTGAAGGTTTAAGTTCTGGGGTTTTCAGCTTTTTGGTGCTAGGCGATTCTCTAGCATCATCCTTGGCAGATAAAATAGCACGGACTCTATCAGTGACATCGTCCCTTACCTTGGTACAAGGATTCACTCCTTTACTCGGAAGTCGAGATAGATGATGCTTCAACCTGCTAATTCCGCCATTCAAGACTCTAGAACAGAACTTGCACCTCACCTTATTCCCGTCTAATTTATCTGCGAACTCCCAACACATGTCCTTCTCTCGAACCACTGTCAAACAAAAGACGTTTGCAATTAGCCACATACTGCTGTCGTTTAGAAAGATCAACCAGCCATTGATGACTGTGGGAAAGAGCTACGATCTCAGCATCAATGGGGGAAAAAAGAAATGAGGGAAGAGAGAACTGAATTACTTGCTACAGATGTCGGAAATGATATCTGTCAGAAATTTTTTACCTGCCATAGAAATAATCAGCACAAGCCTCGTAAAATTTCCATCAGAAAAAGAAAAATCGCGATTCATGATTCGAGGAATCTATTCAAAATGTAAAAGAAGACCGAGAACATAAAAGCAGATTATGATTCTAAATTTCTCGTGTGGATTGCGGGGAACGGCGGACTCTTCACTTCATTTGAACGGCGGAGATCCGGAAAAGGAATGACTGTTTTCCGGTGAAAATTTTCTCGGCGGCCAAACATGGCGACAACGGAGCTCCTACTTTTAATATATATATATATATATATATATATATATATAGAGAGAGAGAGAGAGAGAGAGCGGAGAGGATGAGAAATCGCGAGAGATAAAAGAGGAGCTTACAGAGGGGAGGACGAGGACAGACTCGATTCTTCTCGCCGGACGGCTTTCTACGAGGTGAGATTTAATTTTTCGCGAGATTTTGGTGAAGCTCACGCTCCTTTGCCTTTGTGTATGCCCTTTTCTTCCCGATAATTTATATTTAGTTTTCTTTTCTTATTTTTTCTTCTGCGAGATATTGCCGAGACCGAGAGAGGTCCACTCGAGTCGAGAGCGGGGCACACGAGACGGCACCGTTTGAGCGTCTCTTCTGACGGCGTTACAGACCCAAATGTATTCATTAATATATATATATATATATATATGTATATGTGTATTATATGTTTAGAAGGCAGTACAAACTACAAAGAAAGCATTTTGAAATCAAGAATTACACATAATTATACACATGTATAAGAGAAATGAATTGACAAATTCAGAAAGAAAAAAAATATTGACGTAGCCTCGATAACATATCAATTTATTGACCAATATAATATATATATATATATATAGAGACATATATCAATTCATTTTTCAACGAGTGATGAATTAGTGAAACTGTTTTCCAGAATTTATTTAATTCATGGGATGGGATTAGGGTTGGACATTTAAATCCGTTACCACCTATTTGCAAATACCCGATCTTGCGGATAGAGATACTCACGATTACCCGTCTTTTTAATTATACATACATGTCTAACGGATATCCGGATATCCGAATATTGCGAGACAAACACAAAAATAATATTTCTATAAAAACTACGAAAATAAAAACGAAGACGGATATTTCAAAAAAAGTGTGAATAACGGAGCCGTGCCCACTGTAAATGGAATTGAATTGAGACTCATTTATCAAAGCCTATAACCAGGAGAGAAGCTGATTCTGATGTATCTCACAAACCAAAAGCATAAATGAGGAAGGGTAAACATTCGGATTCAAAGTGAAAAATAAAAATACAATAATAAATAAAAGTAAAAAAAACAAAAATATAAAAGGGGGATAATGAAAAGAATGGTGAAGGGCGGCGGTTAAAAGTCAAAATTAAAATCAGCGGTAGCTGCGGTAGGAAGGGCTGTACATGCTGCTCTCCGCGCACTTCACCAGATCCTTGGGCTGAGGCAACCTCGTTGCCAAACCTTTCATTACAACACGCATATATATATATATATGTGACCATATCATTTTATTTTTAAAATCGAATTTATCAATAACCAAAAATAAAAATAAATAACACCGAGGGTTGACTCGAGTCAACTCACCGAGTTCATAAGCCTTGGCGGCCACCTTGGCGGCGATGCGAGCAGAGATGTTTCTGATGTCCTTGAACGGAGGGTATATGGATCCTTTCACAAAATGCTCCTCCCTCAGCTGCTCTGCCAGCGCTTCCGCTGGCATTACCCATAACATTCAAACATCATCTTTCTCAATATATGCCAACAAAATCATATACATTCACCTGCTGGAGCTAACCGTAGGCAATTTCGTTAATAATCGAATAACCGAACCAAATAACATCTACCCATAACCGAATGGAACATGATATAAAAGTAAAGAAAAAATGAACTCAAATCGAATAAAAAAATAACCGAAAAAAACTGAAAAGCTCCTTTGAAAAATAATTACTTTTATCAACCCGAACCCATAAAAACCTAATGGTTATCGGTTTTTCAAAACCGAATATAACCAATTGAATCCGAACCGAAACCCAAAATGACCACTCCTATCTGGAGTTAGTTCCCTGCCATAAATGAATGTTTTTACTTACAGGCAGCCAGGAGCATGTCATCATGAACACGGATCGTCCCTGACATTATCAACCCGAGCCCTAGCCCCGGGAAGATGTACGCATTATTCGCCTGCCAACAACCACCACGACACAAAAAAAAAAGGTATGATCCATCAGTTGAAATTCTCTCATGCTTTTTCCATCATATTCTTTCAGTTTTTTTGCATAATCACCTGTCCCGGCACCAACATCTTTCCATTGTACTCTACCGGAGCAAATGGGCTCCCGGAAGCAAAGATCGCCCGTCCCTGTGTTTGAATCAAAAGGAATCAAAACCAACTTCTCTACGATTATCTGAGAGAACTACTAACAAAGGCAACACGTTTTTATGTATAATGGTAAAGGAAAGGAAAGAAAACCTTGAAGCTTCCAAGGGCCTTCCATGGCCAGTCGGTGAGAATCCCTGGTCTGGACGCCATTTCCTTTAGAAAAAAAACAAACTTGCAACAATGATCTGAGAGGAGAGGAGCTGTTTGTTTCTTTCGTGTGAAGTATTGTTATATGCATATATATATATATATACTACGTAGTACATGTGAAGCACATCGTGGTGGGGCCAGTTTCCGTAAGTTTAGTATCGTACGCTTTCCCACATAAGCACTATTTTTGGCAGGGAGCCTACGAGCTGAGGCTTGAGCCTTAATGGCTCTTTCCATTTTTGGCTGTACCACTTTGAATACCATCTGACGAATTGGTGGTGCTCTCCCACCGGTCCCAACCGTTGGAATTCAATTTTAGGATACGTCTCACGGGCCTCACTTTTTAGCCCATTATAAAACATCTTTAGGCCCAATAATACGTCACGGGCCAAAATGTATCCTCACGAATACTATATATATTATACATATATCAGAGAGAGATTCATAACAATTAAATTCCCGTTACGTACAGCGGACGAATGCCATTTTGGTAAAAGGTGCAAGTCCAAGAAACCTAAGGCCCCCAAGCTACAATCTCCGACAGCAACTGCCCAAGTGTCCATGACTTCCAAATATGTCCCTTTTACTCCACCATCCATCATGATGCAGCTCACTGCCAAAAAAAATTGTGAGAAAATTCGACCAATTTCCATACCAATCCTACATCATTAATTTGCTACTGCGGGCCTTCGGCTACTAACCTTTCTTCTGCAATTGTTTTTGAATCTTCCCTTGGCAATTGGGTCACTACCCAGACCATGTTAAGGCGAACTCCGGCATGGAAAATGAATTCACAAGCCGAAGATGCCATGATCGCTGGCACCGAAAATGGCAGCGCTGAACTGCCGCGTGTTCAAGTCGCCCCCGTCGATGGCAGATCCGAACCGATCGAGCCACTGGGGAGGGCTTGGATTTTCTGCCTCCTCCACCCACTCAGACGTCATGTCGATGTCTTCAAGTGCAATCGGGTCCATCTCCGATGACGCCATTTTCCCTAAATTGAGATTGTGATTCACGTACGCCAATCCGTTCAACATTTCTTTGTCAATCTTGTTCCGTCTCTCCCAGTGCATCTGCTGGAATGTGTTCCAATGGCGTTCCAGGTTGTAGCCACTGCAAACTTGACTCAGTATCCTGATGGCCACCCGTTGCAGCACGGGCGCTGAGTCACCAAACTGCTCCCACCACAGCCCTGCATTGTTTAACACAAACACACACTATTGTATTCAAAATTTCAAACCTCGAGAAATTTCCACAGTTTCAACAAATAATCAGCATCAGACAGTTAATCTGTAACTGTACCTGGTGGCACTGTATCCCTTGCTTCCATCGCAAGGTTACAGCCGAACATTCCCTTTGCTCTCGTGAAGGTGAATATCTGAGTTGTGACATCACGACGTAGATCGCTAGTCGGAAGAAGTTTCTCCAACACCTTGAAAAAGCCTTCTTTCAATGAAGTGAGGAACTTTATCTCTGGGTTATACTGAATACTGGGGTTCAAAAACGCTGCTGCGGCATGAAGAGGCGAATGCAGATGATCAAACCACTGTGTATCAATGATACTGGAAAATATCTTATGCTTATTCTCATCCATGATGTAATAAGTGCGTATCGACTCCTTCGCCCTTGTCATCAACTCGTAAATAGTCCCTACAGCCGATTTTCCTGCTGATACTTCCC